TTCTCATCCGACGACTCATCCGAAAGGCTTTAATGCAATAGTTTTGTTCAAAACCCGCTTTTATGACACACTTCTCACTCAACGAGTCGTCCATTGTCTTCATCGACATATCGTTCAACAGTCGAAATGATTCCTCTGGCGTCTGATCTTTGGTCAGATATGGAGTCACTTTTGTCGAGCAATTCAATTCTGATCCCAAAATCGCTTTCTTGTCCACGCGTTTGGGCTTCAGTTGAATATTATCTTCTGGTTTCGAGTCTATTATGAATGGCATCTCGTCTTTGGTCTCCACCTCAGAGTCGGAATCGCTGTCCGATTCTTCGCTGAAGAGGTCGTCGTCTAAAGAGTCAATTGAGTGACGAAATTGAGAAATGAACTCATTTTGTGGTCAAAATGATAAAACAAACCTTCATTTGAATGACTTTTGTTTAAATGAATGCTTTTTCGCATAAATTTTGATTGAAATATATTTTCATTCATATTGTGATTGAAATGCAATTCAATTATCAATTAAACCGCAAATCAATGTCAACTCAATTCAAAACATGCATTCAATGCATGAAAACACATGTTTTCAGTGAATGTTGTTGTTATCGTCCAAACAAATTACGTTCACTTTCTATACTTTCAATAGTTTTCAACTTTCAATACAACTGATACTTATTTATCGAGTAATCCTGGACCAGGATCATTTAATTAGATTTTAAATTACCATGATAACATGTTTTGTAAACAGTAGTGAAGCTGCTTTTTAAAAATCAACTCCAAAATAGCGATTAACAATTATCAATAATAAATTATTTATTTTCTATAACTTTGCGTCTTATAAATTATTATAAGTTACCCAGACAAGTTTTTGACATTTTATTTCTTATTAATTTTAATTAACTAACATTTTAGTGATTATTGAACAACAAATCAACCAAATAATGAGTACTAGTACAGTAACTATAAAGTATACTTAAAGTGGACATAAGATTACATAATAATGATTACAATAAGTGGTAAAGTGTGCAAAGAATGGGAAACTTATAGACTATAAGTTGTAGTTGAATCAGAGCTCATCCTTCTTAAGAAGAGTGTATCTGAACTCAGACGGCGCCAACTTCTTGAACACAGAATCAGTCATTCCCGTCCACTAAACATATATTGCAATCATAGACACAATTTAAACATTTAGTAATCTCCAGAAATTATTATTAATTACATACCGTCTCCTCTGTATCGGCTTCAGCTGATTTGTCATCATCTGATCCACTACTGCCACCATCTGATCCACTACTGCCACCATCTGATCCACTACTGCCACCATCTGATCCACTAATGCCACCATCTGATCCACTAATGCCACCATCTGATCCACTACCGGCACCATCTGGTCCACTACTTCCACCATCGGCCACAGTTTCTGTATCTCCTTTGCCATCCGTGTCTTCCCTCTGTTCCTCATCTTCGGGTCCAAAATGGAATTCTCGGTGAAGTTTCCCTGAATACAAATCTTTCACAAATTTGACTAAAACTCCAGTTTTGCTGTGAAATTTAGTTAAAAAGTTTATTTTGTATTTTGTAAAATATTGTATTTATGTACATAAATTTTACTACTGGTATAATCGTAATGAACTTGGCAATTTTAAGTTATAAAATTAATATTTAGTTAACTTA